TTGAGAGTGCCGTCACAGTATGTTGCTTCCCCCTTTACGGTTGAGGCCAAGAGGAGGACGTTCATCGATGGGACGTATCCGAACTTATTCAGAGAGGTGGATAATGCCAAGTGGAAAACGTTCGAGACAGAGTGGAGGAGAATTATCCCCGGGTAAGTATTGTATGATTTTAATAAAGCACTGTACTCTAACTCGTCTACGCTTATTTTAACATTTCCCTGTTTTTTACAGAGTTAGCCGCACGATAGGTCAAAGGACGGTCTTGGACCCTTACAAGTGGTTCCACGATATCACTACCGCGAGAGCTTGGCTCGCTAACGATGTAAGTGAACTATTCATTTCGTGTTTTTTTATGTATATGTGACCTTATGTTTATTAAATGAATAACTCATACTTTTTTGGTGTTTCCTGCTACAGCACATCGACCTGACCATGGACTTGCTGCGAGATCGAGCTCAAAGACATCCAAAATCATTTCTTGTCCATGGTCGAGTCATATTAAACAGTAAGTTCCTGGGTGCCGTTACCATAGAGTATCAGTCGCTCGAACTTATGGGTAACGAGTACACGGTGCCAGAATATGTGCTCGAGTGGGTGATAGGACTGTCACCGAGTGTCGGGGAAAAATCATGGGAGGGTTGTACACATATGTACGTTCCAGCGTGCATCAATAAACACTATGTTACGTTGGAGATCGTTTTTGCTGACTCAGCTATATATGTGTACGACCCAGATCATTCATGTTTGACACAAGGCCAGTTGGAGCAAAACCTGGAGTCCGTGGCTATAATTGTTCCTATGATGGCCAGACGAGCGGGAATAAATGTACAGGACAGATTGCGGATCATTCGGAACACGACGACAGCGCGACAGTTCGTAAGGTAAGTGTTTGAACTTTATTGTTTTCATCTTTCAGATTTAGTTTTTATTTACACAGTACTGAACTGATTCATTCTTGTTCAATTGCAGCGGCGATTACGACATATTTGCCATTAAGTACGTTGAATTTTTAAGTATAGGACATAAGGTTGATGGAATCAACTAGTCGTGGATACAGAACTGGAGAAAAAAGCTAGCATGTGATTTGTTTGAATTTAATGCTGACCCGTAAATTTCATTTATATATATAACATTTCAATTGTGAATTTAATTATTTTTGTAATTATGAAATAATTGTAAATTTGTGTTCAATGTATATAACATTCAAATTGAAAATTTAATTATTTTTGTAATTATGAAATAATTGTAAATTTGTGTTCAATGTATATAACATTCAAATTGAAAATTTAATTATTTTTTATTATTTTACACATATGCCGAGTATGGAAATATTTTTTCATATGAATCATTATAAATACCATTTATCAAAAATAAATATTAAATATGGAAGATTTATAAATAACAAATATTGAACAGTGTAAAGTAAAATGAAATATTATTCAATTCACGTACCTGTCTAGTCGTCATTTAGGGAAATTTGACTGGTACAAAATTGCCGAGTATGCCCTACGGCTCTGTACCGGCCACACCTACGCGGTCGAGGAAACTCTCCAGTAGATGGTATTCTAGATGTACTTGGACGTCCAGGACCACGCGGTTCAACTGCTGGTGGTAACAAATTATGAAATGGGAGAATGTGCTCGGGAACTTCCCACTCGACTTCATTCGGCAGAGGAAATATAGTCTCAGTATATGCTGTTCTCCAAGACTCAGTCATATAATACAAAGAGCATAACGTTCTCGCAGCAAAGCCTCGATACATGGCCACCGCAACTGCATGCTCACATGGAAAACTCTCCAACTGAAATTTTGTACAAGTGCATGTGTTATCAGTCAAGTCCACCATATATGCCATATTACGTGCACATTGCACGGAGAAACGAAACTCATCTAGTACTTCCACATTCAACTTCCTCGCAACCTCTGCCGCCTTAAACAGTTTCTCCTCTTGAGCTCGGGCCAACACGCTAGTGCAACTCTGTGATGCTGCACGTCGGTCATGAAACCACTGTTGTAGCTTGTTACGAATGTTCTCAATCATTGTGAGAATTGGTAACTATCGATCCTTCTTAAACAATGCATTGAGAGACTCCGCGTTATTCGACGTCATCATGTTGTATCGACGTCCTGGAAAGTATGACCGCGCCCAATGTTCGATCCCCATCTTCGTCAGATATTCCAACGCCGGTGATGATTTACTTCCTATCTCGAGCACGAACTTATTACACTCTTCAGCACTGTAAGCTTCGACTGCTCTTCTGAACAATGAAACGATGCCTGTGCCCCGATACCAAGTCTTCAAATTACTTTGTATATGGTACATACAATACCCGTGATGTGCCCCAAGAAAAATTTCAGCGATACCGTTTATTATAGACTGTCCTCGATCAGTTACAAAGGCAAGGTCTTCGACTTCCCCGATCACTTCCCTCAGTTTAGAAAAGAACCAACGCATGGACAGATCATTCTCGCTGTCGATATGCCGAATGCAATAGGGTAAATTTGGATGTTGGCATCTTGACATGTAGCAATAATTAATTTGCCTTGATATTTAGCTTTTAGAGTTGTACCATTAACTAGAATTACGGGTCGCATTGCATTTCGAAAACCCCAAATACATTGTCCGAGAGCCATGAAGAAATACTTAAAACAATTATCGCCCCCCGTCTCAATAAAAAATGCCGTGCCAGGATTAGTTGTCCCCATGTTATCACAATACCTAACCAATTTAGCATAGCTCTCTTCAGCTGATCCCATTAAATCCTCCAACGCACATTCTTTGGCCTTCTACGCTTTCTAATAGCTCATGACCACTTTGTACTCTCAACGGATGTCTTTAATAATGTCCGAAGGTCTGTAGATCGTCCGTGGATCCTGATACTTGTGCATTATCTGTCGACCAATAAACCATGCTCGAGCTTTCCTGTGATCGTTTCGAAGAATCTCACTTTGCAAGTATGTTCCCGTGAATACTTGCGAATTACGAAGCACTCATTCGTGTCCATCTTAGTTGCTCTCAAGCGCTAATTGCAACTGTTTTCGACGCAAGCAACTGTCAACAATGACTTGTTTGATTTCTTTACCTTGAACTCAAAGTTATATTTTAATGCCAGCTAGTGCACAGCTTCCTGCAAATCTTTCTTGGTTTCAAACAGTTGCTCGACCTGCAAGTCCTCATCATCGGGAGCGACACGGGAAGAATTGGAGGACGGTTCACTTGTTCCAACCTGTGAGCTTCCACCTGGCTCGTGTCTTTGTCGGGATAAAGCAATCAAATTCTCATTTATAAACTCATTTATATTCTCATTGTCTTCAATTGTCGACGAAATTTTGCGCGTAACAGCGACATCACGATCAGAAGCAACTGTCTCAGGAATACCCACATCATCCGCAGGAACTATCTCCACTGTCTCCCAAAAACCTCGATCATTGTTATCCGCCCTATCTGAATCTTCGCGTTCACTTTCGATAACATCCTTCGCAATTAAAGTCACACCAAGAACAGTCGGAGTCCGGTGCATTTTATTCAATTCTAATAGATAATTCAATTAAGCATCATTAGTAATGAATACCGGTGGCATCGGAATGGATGAATCCCCATAACCGTTGAATAGATATCTCAATTGCATATCGTATTGAGGTTGATCGACATTCAGCTTATTTTGCAAATCGTGGTACATTTCTAAGTATGGTGTACTCTCTGTTACGGGAATTGCAATACAACCACGTATGTCACTCGTCCATCTCCATTCCCACCGATTATTTTCATTCAATTCGAAATCACCGAAATAACACACGGGAATTATCATATCTGCATGAGGAAATGGTTTTAATCAACTTCATTTATTAATTATAAGAAAAAGGCCAACAAAAATCAGCTGCAGTCGGTTAATTGGCTGTTTAACAGCTGAACAGTCAGCTGTTTAACAGCCAAGCAGTCGGACTATTTCCGACTGTTTGTTAAGTCAAAACACCCAGTTTGGCTTTTTTGCGCAGGAGAATACGATTCTAAAGTTGTATGTTTAATTTTTTTTGATAGGTAAGATCTGTTAAAAAAAATCTATATCGACATAAAATTTCTCTATTTAAACGTATACTAATTTATTGAAAACGAAATTAAACATGCGTAAATGTACTTACCGATTTGAAGTAATTGATATGAAAAAAATTTCCGGCTTCAACATTCCAAAGGTTTTCTAAATTTTGAGGTTTAAGCAGATGAAAAGATGAGAGTTTTTCCTGTGTTGAAAGCTCGTTTTGAAATTTTTATAAGTGGGGAAGTGTTTAATTTTCAATTATTAACTAAAAGGGTAGTATAGTCCTTTCAACAATATATTGTTTTGTAATTGTACAAAACATTTAAGGGCATTTTTGTCTTTTACCATACAAGAGGCCAATGTCATAATATTCATGATTTTGGAAGTTAAAGTGGAATTTAGGTCCTTGATTGGGTCAAACTTAAAAGTACCCCTGAGAATGGGAATTGACGAGGATATGACTCCAATTTGGGGATTTTGAGATATTTTAGGTAAGGGCGTGTTTGTTGTTGATAAAATTACGATGTGATTGTTGGATTACTTTATGGTAAATGATTAGTTGTTATAATTTGATTAAGTTTTAAAATTTGTATTTTATACTACAAAAAAAAAGGAAAAAAAGAAAAGAAAAAGTATTTGTAGTTAAGCCCCTGTTTGGCCTCCATTAATTTTCATTATATTATATTTTATTTTTTTCTTCTATTTTCAACCACACAATATTCCATAAAATAATATTACACATTAATTGAAAAATTTTATTTTCTTTTTAATCACTCATTTTTCAAAAAAATACTATTCTAACTATTAATTTTTTAATAAAATGAGGATCAAACGAGAGCTAAAGAAACACGTGATAGTATATTTTAGATAATTATTGAAAAAGAGGTGTGTGCCATAATTTCCTTTTCTTTTGACCCCACTAGGAAAAAAGTATCAAGACAGACAGCATGGCCCAATTAATAGTTGGATTATACTGCTTGTACAAAATGTAATAGATGCAGAACTCTCCATGTGAGGGGTGTATGTACAACCAATACACATAGCATCGCCTTTAATAGTTTCATTTGCCATTTCTCCTCAATATAGACAGGATTCCATTTCACAAACAGAAACACAACACAATTCTCTCATGGCTGTTTTGGAGGTCTGTGTTAAGGCTGCAGCTGGCGCACCTGAAATTCTTGGCGACTGTAATCCACTCTTTCTTCATCCCCCTTTTTTTTTGTTTCTTTACACGCACAAGACTCTGTAGAAATTATTTTTTTCTTTGATTTTGTTTTGAAACGTTAAGGTCCATTCTGTCAAAGGGTGCTACTGACTCTGGAGGAAAAGAAAATCCCTTATAAGACGCATCTTATAAACTTCAGTGACAAGCCCCAATGGTACTCCTAACTGAATATAATTTTTTTTTTTTTTTTGGGTGTTATCTTTTCAAAAACATCGATTTTGATTATTGTGTATAATAATGAGAATGTGTTGTTGGGTTTGGTTTTTTGTGGGTTTAGGTTCTTGGAAGTGAATCCAGAAGGGAAGGTGCCAATGCTAAAATTTGATGAGAAATGGATTACAGACTCCGATGTGATTGTGGGTATTATTGAAGAGAAATACCCCAACCCTTCTCTCTCCCCTCCTCCTGAAATCTCCTCTGTGTAAGAATTCTCTCTTTCCTTGCATTTATATTTACACATTATCTAAAATATCCCACTATGTGCCAAACAATATAAGAAAGAACTTAAGTTTTTTATTTTTTTTTTTGATGGAATTGTAGGATATTGTACTCTGATTTATGACTCTATGATTGCATACTCTCTGCTTCTGGTTTCTAAACTTTGACCATGAAATCTCAGGGGCTCCAAGATATTCCCTTCATTTGTCAAGTTCTTGAAGAGCAAGGATCCCAGTGATGGATCAGAGCAGGCTCTGCTCAACGAACTGAAGGCACTGGATGAGCATCTCAAAGCTAAGGTGCGAACTTCGGGTGTGATGGATAAGTAAAGACATTCCCATAAGATGGGAAAAAAGCCTATTAGTGATTTTTGTTCTCCATTTCAATTGGACGGAAACTTACATGGTTGTACGAATGATCAGGGACCTTATGTTGCTGGAGAGAATATTTGTGCTGTTGATCTGAGTTTGGCTCCAAAGCTTTACCATCTTGAGGTGGCTCTTGGTCATTTCAAGGGGTGGACTGTCCCTGAAAGCTTGAGTTACTTTCATGACTATGTGAAGGTATCCAAATTGTTATTGTTAGTCTCTTTTCGTTTTCCCCTATCCTCTTTCTTGTAATTCTGTTTGGTGGCATAACTTGGATACCCGGAATTAAGGATATCTCTGCTTGCAAATCTGTCCCCGAGTGAATTAATAAAATCGCTATTGTGCCTAATATTTGTTTCAAATATGTGAATTGTTACTTCTTGTGTTTTCCAGGTGTTTATGCTCCTAAGGTGCACACAATATCAAAATTAGTGTGTTAGATATGTTTGAATGTGCACATTCATGAATCATGAATGAAAATGGAAAGGTGGTCCATTTAACAGTTAATTTATCTACCTAAGATATTGAAGTAGTCAGATGCAGGCTTGCAGTATATAGTTATTTACATCACATTCACTTCTAAAACTAATAGCAAGTAGCCACAAGCTTTACATATGCATTCTCGTATTGTGATGTCCATTGCGTGCTTAATTTTCAGACCCAAGACGACCCTGTCAAGTCACTGGGTTAGTGGGTCAATGGTTCAATCTGCATTCGCTGGTTCAAGCTTAGGCTCCCTAGTGGGTCACTGATGGATCAAAATTCAAAACCGCCCTGGGTATGGCTGGGCTTGACCGGGTTGCTTGCTACTTGGTTCAACTGTAACCTGGACTGGTCAGCCCCTGGTTGGCTGGTAAGACTGGCTTCTCTGGTCCGTGTTACAAGAAAGTGATTGCATGGACAATTTTTAGTTCCGAAGGTCATAAAAAATATTAAACTGTAAATTCAAAATGAGATGATGTTAATAAAAATTCTGCAAGTTTTGATCAAAATATATAATTGCAATGACGATAAACATTGATATGCCTTGAGGATAAGCCTGACCTGTAGCCAGGTGCATTTGGTTAATTAAGGTGAAGTGGAATAAATTATTTGGTTAAAGTATTAATGCTTTTTTGTTATATTTAACTTCAGTTTCTGGACAAGCAGAAAAATATTCCACAAGATCTTCTGTTTTGGTATTGCCTGTTTCTTCATCACCACTTTTTCATGTCTGTTATCTGGTCAGAAGCCTCTCCTGTTACTGATCGTTCATGAATATTGGTTAGATTATTTTCAATGAATTATTTGGAGAAGTTACTTTCATCGGAGTGGAGTTGGCCATTGACAAATGAAAAACAAAATAAAGTTTTAGTTCATTTGAACTTGTTAGAAGAGGGCCGGGCACAACCAAAAAATAACAAGACATATATCAGTTGCTAAGGATCAGTTTAGATGTTACGTAAATCTAGCATTTGGACTGAACAGAGTGTAGTAACCATCCAGCCAAACTCAATTTTATTGAGAAGATGGAAGCTTGGTTATGGGTTGAAATTCTCTTTGTTATGCCAATGCGTCCAAAGCATTTTCATTCTATTGGATTACTGTACTGTTATTATGTCGTAACACAAAACTGAAATTGTTCCCTTTCCTGCAATGCAGTTGCTCTTTTCTCGGGAGTCTTTCCAGAAAACAAAAGCGGCAAAGGAACATGTGATTGCAGGATGGGAGCCGAAAGTTAATGCTTGAACTTGTTCTCTGATGTAGTGTAACCGTTCTGAGTTTCTACTCTGTCTTGTGGCGTCTGTTATGAATGTTTCACAATATCTAAGCCTGTTGATGCATGCTCGTAAGTCGACTTTAGTTGCTTAGAATGACTTAAATAAATGTAGGCTGTTTGTCTTAGTCGCTTGATGGCTGATTTACGATTTGTGCAATGAATGGGTTGAAAGTCGAATGTAGTTTCTGAATGCTGCTGGGTGGATTTAGTGAGTTCATTTAAGTTGGGACTTTTAAGTCGTGTTTTAGTGATGGTGATAAGTTGAATGAGAAAACGGACCATTTTGAAACAAAAAAAAGTTTGTTGTCTAAATTGAAACAAGGCCTAAAGTTGAGTGACTAGTTGAGGAAATAGAAAGAAAGCTCAAATTGAAAAAAGACGAGTTGGATCTTAGCTTTTGCTTGTAACTATTAAAATGGCAAATAAATGGCAGAAGGTTCTTCCGAAGGCCTGATGCTAATGCTCTACCAAATGCATAACGAGTTGAGTGGAGATAACTTTCATGCACATTGCACAACAAAGAAGAGACAAACAAATGAATGTAGTTGTAGTATTTTCCTTTCATATCACTAACACGCTATTCCCCAGCCTCTTGTCCACTATGATCTTGGCTAACTCCATCCACTCTATATTAATTCTTGCCCTCCTTCATGGCTGCATCGACATTAAGGGTCCATTTGGTAGGATTTTTGTTTTTTTGTTTCTTGTAAAAGATCTTCATAATATAGTTATCTTAGGTTAGCTTTCTCTAAATGTTCTTCTAATCGAACAAAGTATTTTCAAAAAATTATTGAGACAAGTTCGATAGCATTTTCTGGTCTTAGAGCAGTTTTTGATTTTTCAAAAGCCTTACAAGTTTTAATTGATTCATTGGACTCTACATTTGCCTTGTCTCTACGAAAGCAATCGACTCATAAATTACTCTGTTGGAAGAAGACCGGTGAGCAATATTGTGCCATAAATAAGAATATCCATCCTTGCAATCTGCATTTAGAATGGAACCCTTGCACGATATTTTCCTTCTAGTATTTACGCGGACAAGGATTGCAGATTAGTAATGATCCGTGAACACTAATTCACTGATATATTCTGATTAAGTATGTTTAAATCTCTAAACCACAGGCTGCTTTTACTAAATTTAGTTCCTGCTCCGCGAACTTTGGTGCGAATTTGAACTGTGGAAGAAATGAACATGGTGGGACATTTGCCATCGATGAGTTTAACAATCAAATACAATATTTCCACCCAACTTTTTGGGAATTTCTAAAAGGAGATATTGACCCACCTGCTGGCATTACCGGTTAGAGAAAATGTCTAATGAGTAAGTAACAGAAACACACAGAGAAATGGTTGGCAATTACAGCAACTAAATGAGACTTCCAAAGGGATCGCATTGATCTCAAGTCTATATTCAAAACTGAGTTTTGAATGAATGAATCTGGATCATGCTATCCCTTTAGATGCCTCATTGGGTAGCTCCACACTTTTGAGATCTGCTTTGGCTTTATGCCTTTTATCATATCCAAGATTTTGCCCAGATTGAAGAATCATTTCAGCAAGTCGCAACACTTTATTGACAATCTTGATGTGTGTGTGTGTTTATACACTTCCTTTGCAAGTTTCAATCTTTCTTGAAATGTTTGGTGTCCCTGATAAAAGCATGAAATAATTGTACTGGAAAAACAATTCTAATCTTCATAATTTACGTTGTTAAAACTGACTTCTTAGCTCTTGCATTTCATCTTATTTTTATTTCTTGTAAAGAAATTCTAATCAGACACTATCACTCAAAAGATTCTCCGTTTCATAAGCTCTAATATTGCAGAATTATTCTTGCTATAATATAAATAATGGAGACAATTAACTAAATCAAGAATCTTCTGTTTCTGATGTTGGAGACAAATAATTCGATTTTTGAAGGTAGTAATCAATACCACTTTTAGCCGCCCTTTAATCCTTCTACTGATAATTTAGAATCGATGGAAATGCCTGCATATCCAAGATTTGCACGCTAAAAAACTTGGATATGCAAGTGTGTGTGTGTGTGTGTGTGTGTGGTATAATTGTGTTGACACACTAAAAGTGCAGCCCAAATCGAATAGTCCAAGGAATGAAGTCCAATTGGGGAATTTCCAAATCAAATAGCCCAAAGAATGAAGTCCAACTGGACAATTCAGGATAAATGCCCGGATAGGGTTATTAATGAATGTAGTGGAAGCCCACGAACACGGTAACATCATCGCCCAAGCTTGCAAGACACAGCTGAGCGAATGAAGTGCCTTACAGTTGCCCAGAGCTATGACCCTGCTCTCCCCCAAACCTTCAAATCGCCCAAGATCTTAGCAAACATAAGATGTTATGGTTATCCAGAAGTGCAGTTATTGAAGCAGTTATTGAGTAATCTTATCACGTTCCACGATTCAAGGAGTTCAGTTGAAGACGGTTGAACGACAAAGAGTAGTGACAACAGTTAGAGGTGGCAATTCCACGACAAGTTAGCCACCATAAAGAAAGTGAGTAGTTATAAAGCAATCAAACAGTTTCTAAGCGATTGATCACGAAGAAATCATCAAGGAAATATAAAAGGAAAAGAAGACATAGAGAAATAGACCTCGAATCAAACACTCTCAAACAGAGAATATGTAATTTCAATTTCTTAGTTTAAACTTAAACATTTCTTTCAGTACTCGTGTGTTTGCGCCCCTTGAAAGCATTCTATTTAGTTCCAATTGTAAAACATCATCAATAAAACACCCATTTTTTGGACTTTTTCTCAAGAGGTTTGTTCCTTACACAATCGTCTGATCCCTTTTTAATTGTTGGCGACTACTCGCGCGAAACAATTTGGCACGCTCAGTGGGACCTTGGTGTTTGTGTTAAAAATACAAAAGGTGAAACAATATGCCTCACAAATCTGATAAGGAAGCAGCAAGTCAGGGAGGAGTCCAGTCTATGATCGAGCGATATGAGGAGCAGCATAGCTCTTCACGAACAGAGGGACAGAGTTAGAGCAGTCACAATCATTACGAACCAATGACAGAGTTGAGTCCTCTAACCATGCGTGCATTACTTGAAGAACTCACGCAGGATGTCGTTGAACAGGTAAATTTGCGAAATATTCATAATATGGAAAGATTTACCCAGAATGAGAATGCACATTATGACAATATGGCCAAACAACTGAACACTCTGAATGAAATAATGAATAAGTTAGTAGGCCAAATTTGTCAGCCAGTTGTGCATCTTGCAAATCATTTTCAAGCTAGGACAATTGTGGGACATAATCTCCTAGTCCTAAGTCCAAATCAAGGGATAGAATCACCTTTTCGTCCCTCTACTTCAAACCAGGGGATGGTGTAATGCCAAATCTGAATAGCGGTAATGGTACAGCTAACTTGGGGATAATCTAAATGTAAGAGATAATGTCCTAAATAATGGACAGAATGCCCTACGTGTTAATGATGGAATAAATATTCAGGCTAATGGTAACAATGGCCCAAATCAAGGCAACTTTGTTACCAACTAGGGACCAAACATCAGGCCTCAAGCAAATCAACCGGTCAACCAACCTTTAGGAATTCCAAATGACCCCAATATCATGTTGAGGAATCAAATTATGGAAATAATACAGGATCAGATGGCTTTTGGAGTATGTCCTGTCATTAGGCCGACTTACACAAAGTCATATCCTGATTGGGTAGACCAAGCATATCCATGGCCTAGAGGGTATAAAGTGCCAGAATTCTCACTATTTATCGGTTTAGGAAAGGTGTCTACTCTAGAACACATAGGGCGATTCACACTGCAAAGTGGTGAAGTAACAGACTACCATAAAATAAGGTTGTTCCCTAGTTCATTAACAGGAATAGCTTTCTCTTGGTTCATCAATTTGTCAGCGAACTTTGTTCTAACATGGCAACAATTGGAGCAATTATTCCATGCTCAGTTTTATAAGATTGAGTCTGAAATTACTTTGGCCAATTTGGCGAGTCTGCGTCAAATGCCAAATGAATGGGCAGGAGGTTTCCTTCAAAAGTTTAAGACGGCAAGAAGTAAATGTTTTGTACCTCTACCCGAATAGGAGTTTGTCAAAATCGCTCAAAACTGTCTAAACTTTGATTTGAAAAAGAAATTTCAAGACAAGGAATTTCCTGATCTTTTTCAATTGAACGCAAACGTGATTAATTATGAACGATTAATAAGAGAAGAAGAGCAAATGAAAAATTCTAGTAAGGGGACTTATTATAGAGAATCAAATTTTGATGTTCATGCCATTAATGACGAATATTATGATCAAGCCGAAATGTGTATGGTCGAATTGATTAAAGGAGATATGTATACTTGTCCTATAATGGCTAAGCCTAGACCGTCGAGCAAGGATGAGCCTATAAAAGATGAAAACAAAAAGGCTAGAACGTTCTAGCTCGATGTAACTGAAGCTGACATTATATTTGATAAACTATAGAAGGATAAATAGATAACACTGAGCGATAAACATAAATTGCCATGCCCTGAACAAGTTAAGGGTAAAAAATATTATAAATGGCATAATGCATGCTCACATTTGACTAACAACTGTTTGGTTTTTCCCCATGTGTTACAGGATGCTATTGAATCAGGACGAATTACGTTCGAGGATAAGAAGAAAATGGCAGTGGATGAAAACCCTTTTCCACAGCCACTTGGGGTGAACATGGTGACGACTGGTTTCAAAAATAAATTGCCAAAATTCAAGTTGGTTATAGATGACGGGGAAGAGGACCCTGGACCACATTCCAGTGTCTTTGAACGTATCAAAGGGAAGGAGCCCAAAAAGGACGAAGACATCCTGTGTGCAAGATGCAAAAGAGAAGTAAGTGCAAATACAGAGAGACCAGGGATATGGCAGCATCACCATCGCCCTAATTTTTTCCCAAACGCTCAACCTGGTAGAGGGCGAGGTACATCATTCTATAGGGGACCACCTTTTGAGAGGCAGTTCAGGCCAGTAAATAATGGGAGAACATTCAAACCATAACCTCGCCAACCAAATGTATGACATTCGTTCTAGTATAACACAGGAAAGGTGATACCCTTCAACGAGATAACTAGAACCCAG